CGAGAAAATACTGAGTTAGGGATATTTTTGTTTAACTTTGTACAGCTAAATTTAGACTTCTACTGGACCGATTTTGTTAACTAATAAGTCATTGGAAAGCCTAATTTATGTAGATTTGCAAATAATTATGAAAGTGTGATTTTATTAAATATTTTTGGGGGAAAAGTAAAAATAACAAAAATACATTAAAAACTGTTTTTTTCAAGTTTCTGTTTTCAAGTTTCTATTTGTAGCCAGATTTTGGCTGCCTTAATTAAGTATTTTCAAGAAATGCATAGTAGTTGTTTGTAGTAAATTTTATTCTCTTTCAGAATATTACATTCACTTTGGCCGATTTCCCCTCCATTCAAAAGTTCTTGGCAATAAGCTAAGTGATCTCCAAATTTATAGTGGTGAGAAAATACCGAATTAGATATATTTTTGTTAAACTTTGTACAACTAAATCTAGACTTCTACCCGACCGATTTTATTAATTAATGGGTCGTTGGAAAGCATAACTTGTGTAGATTTGCAAATAATTATGAAAGTTGGATTTTATTACATATTTGAGGTGAAAAAATGATAAAAAACAAAAATACATTTAAAACGCCTTTTTCCCCCAAGTTTATATTTACAAATTTATATTTGTAGCCAACTTTAGGCCGCCTTTATGGAGTATTTTCAAGAAATGCATAATGGTAGTTTGTAGAAAATTTTATTCTCTATCAGAATATCACCTTCCACTTTGGTCGATTTCCTCACCGTTTCAAAGATATTTGCAAACATGTTAAGCAACCTTCCAATTTATAGTGGTGAGAAAATTCTGAATTAATGAAGTTGTTGTTAAACTTTGTACAATTAAATCTACAGTTCTACTTTACCGATTTGATTAATCAATAGATTATTGAAAAGCCTAATTCATGTAGATTTGCAAATATTTATGAAGGTTTGATTTTTTAAGATTTACTAGGCTAAACCCATCAAAGTAGACAGTTACTGTTGAGGTTTCAAGCAATATCGTTTGACTATAAATCGATGATAAATATACTCATTTTTTTACAATTTGGGTTGTTCATGATTTAGCAGCACGCTTTGGGTACGTCCGATCTTAATAATCAATCATTGAAATGGAAGCTGGTTTTTCACTGAAGGTTCTTAGGTCAAAACAAATAGGATAACGTACTGTAATTATAATTAAGTAAATAAATCTAAAACTAAATTCTATATCCAAAATATAAAATAATTTGCGTTTTCTGATTGAGCGATACAGTATCTTGAACTTAAATTATTAAAACTATCAATATCTCAAATGAAAGCCTTTATTTCTAGAAGTATTTTAAGACCAAGACATATAAAATAAGTTAAATAAAAATAGAGTTACCTATAATTTATTGCAGATAAGTTCTAAAACGATTATAATTATTGTTTATTCGTGATTCAGAAGTGTGTTTTAGGTAATCCGATCTAAATAATCAATGGCTCAAATGAAAGCTGGTATTTCACTAAAGGTTTTTAGACCACAAAATATAGGGTAATGTATTTAGAACTGCTGGAATACATCTTTAATTGAAGTAAAAATTTGAAAAAATAAAATTTATATTTTTCGTTGAGTAATACATTAGATGAATGAATGATAATGCTTGATGACAAATATGTGCTTGCATAGCTTTTTTAAGACCAAAATTATGAAAATCGGTCGGGTAGAAGAGGTAACCCGACTCGGAAAGAAAACCCATTAATTTTTATATATGGCAATAATTAGTTTACCAGTATGCATAATCTAATCATACGAAACATGTGTTAATACTTTAACAGCTTATTGTTATATTGTTATTGAATTGATTTTTCTTTGATTGTTGTTGTTAACCATTTTCATTTGGGTTTAAAGTGTGTTCCAAGTGTGTCACATACCATTTTGGAATCACACTCTTAACATAAGGAACACACTTTAAACCCAAATGAAAATTGTTAACAACAACATTTAATCAAAGATGTGCTTAATCTGTACCATTAATATTAGTGAGTAAAGTGGTGTATGGATTTCATAACCATTATTTTACTAGAGACCGTTGTATTTAACCACAACGGGCTCTTTTACTAGTTGGTAAATAAGACATACCTTGGTTAATGAGAATCATACTGATTCATCAAAATAGAATTTATGTATGTAAATTTGTAGGTACAGTTAAAAGCTCATCCCTTAGGTCAAAAGTTAAATATCAAGAAACGAGTCACGAGAAAGCTTCATTTTGTAGTATTTCAGGATATATTTATTACTTATGTTAGGAAACGGAACATTCAATAACAGATATAATTGTCATATTATTGATTACCATGTAACTAAATTTAAAACATTTTATAAATACATCAACTGCTCATTTAGATTAACTCCTTGTTTAAGCCACAACGAATCTTGTAACTTTTAGACCGACTTAATGTAATTGGAACAAGTTTTTATATAGCCTTGTTTTGGCTTTCTTTTCTCTTAAAAATTTATATTTTAAAATATATATTATTTTATAGTTTCAACCGATCTCATAGGCCTCGTTCACACGTATCGACTTTTCGCCGTGCGCCGTGCATTCCTGAACCGCGCCGTGAACAACACGACTTGGGCCGTGCGAAAATTACTTCTTGCCACATTTCTTCAGTCTATCAAAATGGATAACCAAACAAGTATGCTATTTTTAGCATACTCGCCGCTCGTATCGTACCCGAGGCCAGAACTCTCAGGTTTAGCGCTAAAAGGTGTATTTTATGTATCATACAAACTATGTAAGCTGACTTCATTTCCAAATAAATCTGGTTAATCTTTACAAACGAGCTTTGTGGCCCATCTTAAGGCATGACTTCACTGTTTAAAAACTAATGTTTTATAGCAAATAATACTATGAACTTGTGAACTGTTCACATAAGTTATTTTTAAATTTTTTTACAAAAGTGGAAGATTCCGCCTTTTTTTATGGATGTACTACACCTCTCGAATCCAGGAAGACACTGAAATAAACAATGTCTGCGCATGCCCTAGACCGAGTCGGGACGGCCCCGCGTCGACCTGTGTGAACGCATCCATAAGAGACCATGGTCACAAACAATATAATATTTTAATGTTTTATTACTTTACTTTACTTTACTTTATTGGTTTATTCCATTGTCTGTGCCATGGTGTTCAAGAGGTCGAGTACGGCGCGACGCCGCGTCGTCGCTTGAAGAAGGTCGTGATGTCCACGGCCGCCGTGGACGGTGCGGCGCCGTGGACGATACGTGTGAACAGTTGCATTTACAGCAATGCTATTAAATAAACACGACGTCGTGCCGTACACGGCGCACGGCAGAAAGTCGATACGTGTGAACGAGGCCTTAGTTCTTTTCAATTAACTTAACACATTCTTTTGATTAATTTTTGCTCGCTGTGGTACAAAGTTGGATTGAAAATGAAAACTAGTTTGGAGTATCACTAACTCTGTCTGACATTCATCAGAAGAGGAAAGGTCACAAAACCATTCCAGGGCATAACGCATAAATAACAATGGACATTCTAGGATACTTTTTCCGCATTAATTGAATCACTTTATGTTCGCTTTCAACGATTGGCTACAACTCTGCATATTGTATTTGGGATGTTAATTTATGTCTATTTCGTTTAGCTACCGAATATTTTCCATGCAAACATTATTCGTCTAGTTTCCATCCATTGGCCGTTGATAAATCCAAGTATAAAATGTTTTATGTATATGTCAAATATGTTACTACGGTAGCTTATTGTATCTATTCGTGCTCAAGCAATAATACTGTGGACGGGAAAAAAGTATCAACCTGTTTTATAAATAGCAGCGAGTTTATACAGTAAATTGTGGCTAATGGAGTGAAGTCACGCTCGAACGTGCACTTGAGATTTAAACCACAAACTGGCAATGCCTTAGTTAAAACCACCCACCATAATTACAAAGGTAGTCTTGTGCTTTTGTGTACGAAGCCTAATTTAGTATGAGAATTTCTTCTATTATTACGTACATAACTAAACGTATACACTTCTTTTATAATTTTTCGATTTCTAGTAAAATCATTTGTAGTTATATCTCTTTAACAAAAATCTACGAGGTGGAAAATAAGGCCGGGAATACTCGCCCGTTAAACTTTAACAGACAAAGGAATTATTGAACTAATTTATTTTCACAGGATTAGCAGAATAATTATAAATTAAACTAACAGAGAATGTCAGCTGATGTGTGATTGTTGTTACAGCCATGTTTGTGCTCGCTGGTCTACTCATGGTCGCCGCCCAGTCCTTGTCTCAAGCTCACGCCTGACAATGTCAGCTGATGTGTGATTGTTGTTACAGCCATGTTTGTGCTCGCTGGTCTACTCATGGTCGCCGCCCAGTCCTTGTCTCAAGCTCATGCCTGACAATGTCAGCTGATGTGTGATTGTTGTTACAGCCATGTTTGTGCTCGCTGGTCTACTCATGGTCGCCGCCCAGTCCTTGTCTCAAGCTCACGCCTGACAATGTCAGCTGATGTGTGATTGTTGTTACAGCCATGTTTGTGCTCGCTGGTCTACTCATGGTCGCCGCCCAGTCCTTGTCTCAAGCTCATGCCTGACAATGTCAGCTGATGTGTGATTGTTGTTACAGCCATGTTTGTGCTCGCTGGTCTACTCATGGTCGCCGCCCAGTCCTTGTCTCAAGCTCACGCCTGACAATGTCAGCTGATGTGTGATTGTTGTTACAGCCATGTTTGTGCTCGCTGGTCTACTCATGGTCGCCGCCCAGTCCTTGTCTCAAGCTCACGCCTGACAATGTCAGCTGATGTGTGATTGTTGTTACAGCCATGTTTGTGCTCGCTGGTCTACTCATGGTCGCCGCCCAGTCCTTGTCTCAAGCTCATGCCTGACAATGTCAGCTGATGTGTGATTGTTGTTACAGCCATGTTTGTGCTCGCTGGTCTACTCATGGTCGCCGCCCAGTCCTTGTCTCAAGCTCACGCCTGACAATGTCAGCTGATGTGTGATTGTTGTTACAGCCATGTTTGTGCTCGCTGGTCTACTCATGGTCGCCGCCCAGTCCTTGTCCCCAGCTCACGCCTGGGGTGGTCTCTTTAACCGCTTCAGTCCAGAGATGTTGACCAACATGGGCTACGGTGGCCACGGTAGCTTCAGAGTGCAGCCGTTTTTACAACAGGTACCATTTTACTTTAATAATGCGTACTACTTTAATAAAAGTAGAACCATAGCCCACCGTCATCGACATAGCCCCTGGAATTTCAATTATGTCTCAACTAGATTGAAGCTTTCTCCGTCAGCAGTTCAAGGCATATGTTTTAAAATCTTGTTACATGTTTAATCTCCAGGCTTGGTTATGTTGTTTTGTAAATTACACTTTGATATCAAATACAAGAGATAATACATACATTTTTGCTCTCCGTTTTGCTCTTGTAGACGAGCATCATCGACTACTCCTGTAAGTTGCATTTCGCTCATTTTTTCAATGTACTAACAAAGGATCTTTGCAATGTTTAGAATACATCATAGTTAAAACACTGAACTTTGCTGAACAAAGGATACGAAGGGGAAAAAGTTCAACTGTTGAAATAATATATCTTTGACAAACCTTTGGCAAATTGGATCAATACGAAATATTAATATATCTAAGTGAATCGATCCTTGATGAATAATTTACCGATACATATCACAAATTAAGTTCCATATTGTAACAACAATTCCAACAATTGTTTACAATATATTCTGTTTGACATTTTACAATGAAAGGTTTTCACCACGTCAACAAGAAGTACTGTAGTAAGTAACCAATGTTCAAAATGGAGTTGAAGAAGTCATCAAATATCACTCGGAGATCTTTCAACGTTTACAAACGTTACGTTTACGTTGACCGGTATTTTAAAGCAAACATCAATGTGAGCTTTCGCCAAAACATTTTACTGAAAAGAAACTGAAGGAAAATAATACAGTATCACTATGTAACTCAAATCCAAATCAGATTATTTCAAAAATATTTTGCGTTTTGTATTGTGACTAAACTTCAGTCCAACGACTGAAGTTATCGATGACTGGTCAATCCGTGGGGGTTGGTCTAACTTGTAGTTATATTTTAACCATACATTAACTAATATAATGTTTTACAACTTTTTTTTATAAATTGTAAAGAAAAATAAAATAATCTTTACTTATATTTTGGGTAAGGAATAACAACTACCTTATTACCTTACTTAATTGATCATTCCATCAAATAAAATCACCTCACACCTTTATGTAATACAATTTAGGTATTCCATACAGGTGTGAGTGTTATAAAAAGTTGCCCCCTGGTGGGGGTTTGATAATGAAATTTAATTAATTTAATCAGACAACTGAGGACAAATCACAGAGCTGGCAGTGGAAGTAAGATGTTGTATTGAGCCCTGGTAATTATATATCCCAGAAATCCGATTTATGGACCGTGAGAGGTCTGATATGTCCTCCTGTAAATACCTTCTATGATCTTAAACTTAACACTTCTTAAAATGTAAATAAATGTATACCAATACTCTGAATGCAAAATGTACTCTTTGTTGAAACTTTATTAAGAAATGGCAATGATTCTGTATTACTGAAATGTTAATACCAAACACTGATTAAACAAATACGTAATAATTTGTATAATAATATTCAATTTACTGATATTATTTTTTTTTTATGCAATTGTTCGGTTAAGCCGAATACCTTGACCAAGACAAACACAGGAGAATTAATAAAATTGTTGAAAGAATAAGCTCAGTATAATGTCACTTTAAATATTCATAAATGTCACAAATAATCAATAACAATTCAAATTCCTGCTCTACTAACACTTCAATTGAATAGGGGAGAGTATTGATTGTGGTTTTTGACTTTCTTTACTGAGATACTGACAGCAGAGCCTCGGGAACCTAACCTAGGTTTGATTTATTTAATCTATTTTTAGGCTATTAGGCTTCCCAAATCAGTGTATTTATTAACAACTGGCCAGTTGGTCTTATTATGCAAAGGGGCTATTCGTAGTTCTGTGTACAGCACACTTTGTTGCTCAGTGGTAAACTGGGCCAAATCGACTACTGAGTCGATTGTTTGATTTAGGTTAATAAAATGACTTTTTATGGCGTTAATGGAAGCCTGTCCTTATAGCCTGTATTGAAACCTACCCTTCAACCAGGACAATGCTCTAATTCAAACTGAATTTGTACACAATCAAATACTCTCAGAGATCTCTTTATATAGTTTAGAAGTGTTTTTAAAATCAAATATTAAGTAAGAACAATTGTAACAATATGGCGTGACAGACAGATGACAATGATATAATTCAAGTTAAATACAAAATTTACAATATGAAATTTAATTAATATAAAGATTTACCCAAATTATTGATCCAATAACACCTACAAATGTATCACAGTTTATATTCAAAATAAGTAAATGGTGCTAACTTTAAGGCAATCTGACCAAATTACATACTAAGACATGAAACCTGCAAGAAACATGATCTAACAAATGTGAATGTGGACAGATTGGCTCGTCTTACACAATTAAATACAAATTACACAGAACATTTACTTTACACAGAAGACAACTTTGACGACACTTAAAACATATAATTACGACACTGTACTTGGGGTTGGCTCCACGAAAATGGTCAAAATTTGACAAATTTTGCCTGTCAACGTCGAACTTAAAGACTCGATTTCTTTAATCAATTCGTAATTTAGCAAACGCTGTTTCACGGTTCAAATACCAATGCACCCCGGAAATCGAACAATTGATTTTGTTGACGAAATACACGTTACGACTACCAAAAGTGAGTTTTGCGAATTGAAAAGGAGAATTTAAAGATTTTCGATCATCGCGACTCAGAGCCTGATTCCCAAGTGAAGCGACCGTTAGAAAGACGTCCACACAAGTCAACAAGTTGATATCACTCCGCGCTCACGTGATTGGCCGTTGTTGGGTCGTTGCCTTCGCGCGTTTTCTGTTTGATTTGAATTTGAATCGGTACAAAATTAAGTTTAAAAAATAATTCTGCGAAAATTCCAGCTATCATTTGTAATAACAAAATAGAACAAAGCACTTTTCATTCCATAAATATCCAAACTCACAACGAAATTGGTTGTAACGGCCAGTAAATTAGATCAGTGCTTCCTTTCTTTACAGCAACCCACTTTGTACATAAAGCTATCAATCTTTCACGTCAAAGTTGTAAAAACTATTAAAAGCTTTAAGGATGGAACATTTTAAATTAGTGATGTGACGAGTTGAGTTGGCGAGTCGAGTTGACTCGAGTCAAGACCCGAGTCGAGTCAACTCGAGTCAACTCAATTCCAACTCGAGTTCTTTTACGAACTCGTACGGAGATTGACGAAGCTACACGAACTCGTAACGTTACGAGTCCGACTCGCAAAAGCCGAGTCAAGAAACCGAACTCATACGGAGAAAGCCGAACCTTAACGAACTCGGGACGTAACGAGTTGACTCGAGTTTACTCGCACTCGCTTTCGGCCAATAGCGTCACAGCTTTACGAGTCAACTCGCATAGATTCAACGCTATTGGCCGGTACCGAGTCGGCCGACTCGCAAAACTAACGAACTCGTACGGAGAATGCCGAACTCACACGAACTCGGAACGTCTCGAGTTGAGTCTGACTCGACTCGTAACTCGAGTTCACGGCAGTTGGCGAGTTGAGTCACTCGAGTCAGGAAAGTACCCGACTCGTCACATCACTATTTTAAATGCACCTGGTTGATAAATGGACAAAGATAAAACCACGCAACGAGGTGGATTTGTGATGGAACGTGCTGTGGTAAATCAGGGAACTAAACGTCCCTCGCCGCCCGAAGGGCAAAAGGAAATTGCGCAGGATTCCATTTCCCCCGCAATCTTGATAGTTTTATATTTTAAAATTAATACTTTCCTATAGTTACAGTAGGGTTTGGAATTGTTTCTCATTGCCTCGAATGACTCTGCGTTATATGAAAATAAATGTTTCATAATTTATTTTCAGGTTCCTGTTTGGCCCACGTTTTTTTTTTTTTTATTTCACCAAAGGAGCGGGTAAACAGCTGATATCTAACTATTAATTTACAGACTTACATACAACTATAAATTTTAAACTTTGAATTTTAAAACAATGAAACAAGGATAATAATTCAAGACAAATGTATAAAAAAATAATTTTCAATCGCATGAATGTAATTTCAAGGAACTATTTGTTTTAACAGTAAACTGTTTTAGTTGAAGGTGAAATTCACAGTTTGTACCTTCTCGATAGGTTACTTAATCGTTGATGTAAGCTATTAACGACATCATAGTTTAGACCGTTCTCTTACAAGAAAGGTACTAATGGCGGTAAAATGCACAAAATATAATGATATGAAATAAAAAATTGTGGTCAGTGATAAAAATGATTTGATTTTTTTCACAATGTGTATCAAATAAAGACATTCTTTATAAGCGAAATATTTAAACATCTATTATAAAAATCTAACAATTTTTAGAAGAACTGTTGACTCTCAATGAGTATAAAATAATAACCAAACTCTTAAAACCTTTGAACTGAATAATTATAAAAACTGTATTGTATGTACGAACTGAAACATCGACTATTTCAAACACTAAGGCCCATGTTTGCTCTATACATGGTGGAACAATGTGTTAAAACTTTGGACTATATGTGACCAAAGTGTACAAAAGACATTTCCCCCAAACTCATCAACAACGGTCAACCCACTTTTCTCCGATTCAAGTAAGAATTCTCCTCACAAGTTTTAGGTTGATTTCTTTTTAAATTTCTTCTTCTCATTCTTCTATTCATATAGTATGTACGAGTAAACTAGTAAAAGTTATCCATAACTGAATAAAACATTTTGTCGCATTTATTATTACGGTTCGTTTGAATTAAAACACAATCCTTCAATTTTGAAAACTTATTACTGAAATGTTTCCCAATCATATTAAATGAATTAATATCATAAGGTTCAGTGTAGTTATCAACACTGATGCCACCATCGGTGTCCTCAAGGTATAACATTGTCTAGTCACTACTTGGCGAGCTGGACGTAGACGTTTCGACTGGTTGCAGATGGCCATCTTCAGGCCATTAACGAGCGTCAACTTTTGTTCAGTGTTGTTGAGCGACGCACGCTGTTGCTGAGTTGAACTAATTCTACTCTATTTCCTCATAACTTAAAACAATCTCTATGAAATGTCATACACGGTTAATCCCGAGTTAATAATATTAACATCGGCATTAAATGTATAAAACACTATTTGGAACTTAAAACATAATTTTACTCGTCTTTAAAGTTTGAATAGCAGGAAAATGAAATGAAAATTGCAAAACTGAGGTGAAAGTTTAAAAGTCAGAATATCCGGCTTAGTAAACATCAAAGGAGAAATGAGCCCGGTGCTGAATAAACTTCGCCAAGTCACTTAAGTCTGACGACTCGAGTCAGCCTATTTTTCTATGAAGCAAAGGGCGGTGGCGAACTTAGTGCTCATTTTTAGAGAAAGAATTACCTTTTTTCGGATATTGAATAAGCTTCCATAAAGCTATTGAAGCTGAACAAACCATGGTTTAAGAGGTAAATTAATATCTGAATCATTCTATAAACCAATTTCAGCAAAAAAGGTAATTAATTTTTGCTTAACGATTTTTCAATGTGGGTCTTAGGTAGTTTTATATGGACTTTGTTCTCAAGTAGTCCTTTTTCTGAGTATTGGAATGCAACCAAAATTAAACTTTAAAATTGCACCAATGTAGATATAAAACTTTAGTTACTTCGAGTATTGCTGTTTAATAGTATATAAAGAACTGTATTGTAAAGATAATCTGATTATATACACGATATTCTATCGGTCTAACGGGCACCCGGTCACCACCTCTTGTTCAAAGCCCCCAAGAGACATTTCAAGATCTGCAAGAGATTGAGAGGGACACCGAGCAAGACTGCTACGACCTGGAGTGTGTCGCTATGAATACAAATGGTTGTTTCTGTTACAGAGTCCTCGAGAGACGTTTCAAGAGCTGCAAGAGATGGAGAGGGACACCGAGCAAGACTGCTACGACCTGGAGTGTGTCGCTATGTATACAAATGGTTGTTTCTGTTACAGAGTCCTCGAGAGACGTTTCAAGAGCTGCAAGAGATTGAGAGGGACACCGAGCAAGACTGCTACGACCTGGAGTGTGTTGCTATGAATACAAATGGTTGTTTCTGTTACAGAGTCCTCGAGAGACGTTTCAAGAACTGCAAGAGATGGAGAGGGACACCGAGCAAGACTGCTACGACCTGGAGTGTGTCGCTATGTATACAAATGGTTGTTTCTGTTACAGAGTCCTCGAGAGACGTTTCAAGAGCTGCAAGAGATGGAGAGGGACACCGAGCAAGACTGCTACGACCTGGAGTGTGTCGCTATGTATACAAATGATTGTTTCTGTTACAGAGTCCTCGAGAGACGTTTCAAGAGCTGCAAGAGATTGAGAGGGACACCGAGCAAGACTGCTACGACCTGGAGTGTGTCGCCAACGACCAATGTTGTCCTGGACAAGTCTGCATCATCCTGGATAGCAGTAAGTCATATTGAATATTGTTGTTGTCTAGTATGATACTATGGTGTACATCCGTATCTTTATTCAGGTCGATCCCAAATATCAAGAGCGTTTTCCTTTAAAATTATTTTGGACCGTAAATCGTCCTTTTAAATAATATATAATTATATTTCAATTTATTCTGTTTTATACTATCGTTATATTGTAAATTACAATTTATTCAGAAACATATTAGTCCAGGCAAATTAGAACAAATATAGGGTGTGCTCCCCAAAAAATCGTCTAAAGCTGGAAAGTGTTTTAATACCTTTTGGGGGTCCCAAATAAGACTCCTGTGAGTTTGCGACGGATTCTGACGTCTGCTTAGGTTTTGGGAGTCGAAAAACTATGAAAATTTTGCACTTTTTTCAGTTTTTCGCTTATAACTCCTAAATAACGAGTCCTAAGGAAAATGTTGTTCAAAGGTGTCTTTTAGTGCATTAAAATCCGCGTCGATTGATGTTAAATACGTCAAAATCGGCCGAGCCGTTTAGCCGCTGTAGCTTTTCAAAGTTGGGATATTTTCATCAACATGGCCAAAAGGTTGATTATTTGACCAGTTTTCGGCTTAAAACTCCTAAACGACGGATGCTATACAAAAATGCACCTGTAGTTAGTTTGGAAAACACAAAATTCTGCGTATAATGTTTTTTTTACTAATCAATAACGGCAATTGATTGTTACCTACTTTGTATGGACGCCATTTCATTGAAAAAAGTATTAAAGTTAAAGTTGGGAAATTTTAATAAAATTGGTAACAACATAGATCCCGTCCTTAAATGGATTATGAATTATTAGATAGACCCCCTATGTAATTTTAAGTCTAATATTGTTGTCTGAGGTTCCGAAAATTCTAGGGTTCATCCCAACCACCCATTATATACGATCTATCCCTGTATTCATCTTTCAGTTTTTGGCTTACATCTTCTAACGCATGCTATAGAAAAAATGTTCCTGTAGTTAGTTTGAAGAGCATAAACGTCTGCGTAGAATGTTTTCCAATTCATTAGGATCGGATTCACCATTTAACCACTATTGATTGTTAACGCTAGATCAGATGCTTGTCAAGTTTAAAATCTTGCCATTGAAATCTGGCAAACAACCAGCCTAATTACCAAAAACATAGGGGATATGGCAGTGAATCTACCCACTAGTGTGACGTCATGGATCGTGCAGCACGGCCTATGAACAAGTGCTCATGAGAGCAACATCTTACTGTGGAGAGCTTTTTCCGAGATTGGGGAATCAATGATGGGGATCTAGCCCGATGGTTCGCTGGCAGGCCCATCGCAGTGAATGCTACCCATCAAGTTAAGGTATATTGTGGGATCACATCTTCAACATATTATCAGCAAGTTGACAATATAAACTCCACGGATACGGTGGGATCAAAAAGAAATTCATCAAATGGTTCCATTGTCACGACCCATTTACTGAAAATAGTTCGCTCATGTCAATCAGCTCAGCAGTTATCCCATATGATATGATCAATGCGAGATATGTATAAAGCATAATGGAAAGGCACAGCTTGCAAGAAAATCGTAAATAGGCAAGCTTATAATGACCATAAACTGTGCAGAATAAAAGGAAGTGGTGACATTAATCGTGAGCTGTGATGGCAACAGCAAAGGTTAAAGAAGAATCTGCCCCCTCAGTCAACACGTGATATTCCACATTAAATCCAAGCCTCAATTTGAATCATACTTTGGATTAAAAATAGGTCCATACCAACTAGCGCAGTTTGATGAAGAAAGCGTGATGTAGAAGAGTCGAAAATCTAACTATTCGTGTAGCCTAAAACTACTCATGCTGTTTACTCCAATCAATGTGGATCTCAGTGTGTTCTGACGGGTTACAACGCTTGGCGGAGTTGCAGAAGCAGGTTGGCCCTAATGGTTGGGAGCAGAAAATATCCAAATCAAGTGAGGGTTGGTCTCTTCTAGAGGACACTTTCAACTAATTTTGACTTTGATTCTAACAAAAGGGGCTGCTCATCCACCAATCCTTTAGAGCTCATTTAAAATTGTACTTAATTCAGAGAGATAGGTATGGAAAATTAACGTCAATGGGTTAACTCCCATCACTACGGCTAATCCACCGGTTCGACAAGAACTTCTCAACTACGTCTACCTATCTCGACCATCGCGTACATGTTGAAAAGGTTTACATTTTCTCGCTCCATTACATATGAAATGCAGGTATATAATACACTACCGTCTGAAAGACTTGCCAGGGGCACGATTATCTCAATTCGATATCTGACGAAAAAGATGGTACCAAATGTCACCATTTGTGGCAAGACCAATAAGAGCAAAGAATGAATCCTTACTCTTAAGATTCCAATGATGAGAAGTAGAAAAGTTATATGGTAAAATCTACGAAAAATCCCAGTAGTTTTTTTTTTTTTTAATAGGCTAAAAACATAGTAAACCTATGTACATCCGTCCTATTATCATCTTTCGTTTATTAAGCTAAAAAATAACATTTTTGCTATATTTAATAAAATATTTCTTGTTGTAATATCTTATTATATTAGAATCGCTTAACATCATTCGGAAGTGTCCAGAGATGGGATCGTATAAATGGGAGCTTAGGACGAATCCTAGAATTGTTGTAACCCCCTCAACAATATTAGATTTAAAATTGCATAGGGGGTCTTGCTACCCTTCCCTTCACACATTCTTGGATAAACCTCTGGATGATAACCATAAAATAAACCACTATCTAGTCATTCATAATCATAATTCTACGCCGAATTTTGTGTTTTCCAAACTAACTACAGGCGCATTTTTGTATAGCATGCGTCGTTTAGGAGTTTTAAGCCGAAAACTGGTCAAATAATTAACCTTTTGGCCATGTTGATGAAAATATCCCAACTTTGAAAAGCTACAGCGGCTAAACGGCTCGGCCGATTTTGACGTATTTAACATCAATCGACGCGAATTTTAATGCACTAAAAGACACCTTTGAACAACATTTTCCTTAGGATTCGTTATTTAGGAGTTATAAGCGAAAAACTGAAAAATGTGCAAAGTTTTCATAGTTTTTCGACTCCCAAAACTTAAGCAGACGTCAGAATCCGTCCCAAACTCACAGGAGTCTTATTTGGGACCCCCAAAAGGTATTAAAACACTTTCCAGCTTTAGACGATTTTTTGGGGAGCATATGTCTAATTTGCCTGGGCTATATTGTTTGTTTGCTGTTATATTAAGTTCATGCTCGCCTGGATTTATTGTACGGGTAAAGGACACATGATTAATGGAATTAATCTATATTATTTTTATGACGAAAATACATGAATTAACTCTTATTATAACTGATAGGCTACATATTTATCCATTACTGTTTCGGGGTCACGTATTTGCTAGGTGGAACGTCAGCTATGCTTTGTAAATAGGTGACTATTTTTTTAAACTCTTACAGATTGTATTAAGTAAAAAATAATCACACCTTGGATTAGAGAGCAATAATTACTCCTTCGTAGAATTCCAAAACCAGTGCAATATGTTATACATTTGTACATATGCCTCAAACCATGTGGTTTCATATCACATAGTTTTAAATAACTGGGACTTGTAAGATGTGGGTTTATATAGATTAGTCATATATAACATGTTTTCATACAACAAAGTTGTTTACAGTTTGGTTCCATACAACGTATTCTTATACAACATGATTGAATACAACGTGATCTTTTCTCAAAGAGATATGGATTTCCATGGACATAGTAAGAAAGGATTTTTGTTTGAATGTCTTCTAAGCGTCTTAGTCTTTTTAGTCTCCAATTCTTGGAAAACTCCTTAGAATTTCAAGCCTTTGCATCATCTTCTGATATTTAAAAAATAGTGTAAACACCAAGGAGTTGCATCTGTACTTACTAGCTGCGTAGAAAATCTCTCAGTTAGAGTAGTATTTGAGAATTTCACTAAAACAACTATTATTTATATTATATTAAAACTTATGTCAAAGTATTATTATATTTATAGATGTATTACAGATTTTAATAATCCTTAAGTTTTGGTTCTGTACTTAAAAGTGCAGAGCAGACACATCAATTATTATGAAAGTAGATGCAGAGACGCCAAGCTGAACACCATAAACCGTGTCATTCGAGCTTTTGCCTTCACATATTAGCACCACAATCCTCAACAAACTCTATGATGACATTAAACAAGCTGGACAGTAAATCTATTCAGAACTCTAAAATGTCTTGGTGTACAAATCTGCGATTTCGTGGATGCTGATATCTAAATTGTATGAAAGACTGCGGTAAAAACTCAGACACTGGAATTTAAAAAGATACTTTTGTCATTTTTTTTAACCTGAGAAATTATTGATTAGAATGGACAGTATTTTCACATTTTTTACGTTTGCATGCAATTTATTTTCGTTGATTACGATAAGCGAATCTTTTTTTAAGTCAATTGCACTTAGATTTAATGTTTTGATAGAATATTAAGTTTATTACCAAACGCCAATGTTCGTCTTTGAATACAAAAATCTTCAATACAGAAAACATTCTTTCACTGATGGTTTGGTTAATGGTTGGTGGGTTTTATTGGCTCAAATTCTAGATTTTTACCTGTATCTTTATACATTTTAAATTGCTTACTATACGTAAAAGAGAATATAGACTGGTAATAGTGTCTGATCCGACATTCATGCACATACACAAGAAATAGCCATTATCTCAACTTACCACTTACAAGACTTACACTTACACAAAATAGCTACAAATATCTTAATTATACAATTTGTTATAAGCTACCCCCTTCTGCAGAAACAATTCCTAAAAAAGATTCAAAACTTTCGTTGATTCATGGTTAAAATTAAAATGTTTTTACTCTGTAGATAAGTTCTTGTCCTTGGAGGTTTTAGATACAAGTGTTTGAATAATTTAAGGTCAAGGTTTTTTTATGTATTCCATGTCTATGTTAAAAGTCTATTTGTTTTAACGATAAGATGCAATTTTATACAATACC